ATTCTGCCGGCTACTCCGAATTAGGTTTTCCTGCAGTTTTCCTAATTCGTAAGGTAAATAACGGAGTAGTTTAAGAACAACTTAAGACCTTCTACAGGGGCACCTCTAAAAAGCATTATGCGGGTCACTCTGTAATTGGACGCAAGCCTGTTGAGGTGAGAGCCCAGAACAAGAGAGGGATAATAAATAAATAAATCCTGTAACACAATAATCGCTATTTCATGGCGAATACTATGATAAAGGGTTGCCTCCGAAAAATTTGACCGGAACGACAGATGGCAGAGCTTTAAAAAGCGAAATTTCGTACGTTAAAAGCGGGCCTGCTTGCTATGTAACTGTATTTAAGAAATGAGGATAACGATTGCATAGTAAATACCGAGCAACAGGTATTAATAGATTTTAGGAAAATAATTCATCGTTAAAATCAACCACAAAGGCGCCAGATTCGCCCAAAAACACTTTTCAACATTTTTATCGCGATGTGACAATAGATAACGATACGTGGTAGCACGAAAAAATACCCCGTTCTGTAAAGACGATTTTTAATTCGTGTCAAAGTTTAACACAAGAAGAATCGCATTTGACGGCTAGTCGAATTTTTTCCATAGAATTAGAATACGACCCTGACCATTAAAAAAGAAAGACGAGAGTCGGGAAATGACGATACCGTTACAGTTACCGTACGCCGGCGTAATGAAATGCGTCGTCCTAAACCGTCAGATTCAGATCAATGAACTTCGCGTTTATTTTATTACAAAGTGTCGTAAAATTGTCTCCAGTTTTCCTAAAATTGACTTAACACGGTCGTAATAATAAATTAATCGCCGATTTGTGAACTTGATTGATTAAAATCGTAACGGATCTGAACAATTTGGCGTGGATGCGCACGCGAACCTCGGCCATATTTGTGGAGGGAATTTCAAATGACAATGGACGAATTTCGATTAGAAGACACCCCTAATTCAATAATACACAAACAATTAATTAATATACCTTTGGGAATAAACCTGAATGACGAGTTTGAGACTTATGAGGAATTCGATCAGTTACTAAAGGAATCGGCCCATCGGCATTACTTACAGTTTTGGAAAAGAGACTGCCGAACAGTAGAAGGAGCAAAAAAGAAAACCGACAGATACATTAATCCGAACATTAAGTATTATCAACTGAAATATTCTTGCGTTCAAGGCGGACGAGTCTTTAGAAGAAAGAATAAGTCTTTGTAATGTCCCACTAAATTAAAAGCGCACAGTTAATAAATTTACTTACAGGGAAGAATGCGAAGCCAACTTTTATTTAACAGCAACTCCGGATGGAGAGAAGCTTTTTGTTAAATCGCTAAACAACTTCCACAATCATGAGGTGTCTGAGGTAAGTAGTATCTGATAGTTCTGCCATTACTTTACGAATCTTTTTTTAGGAGTCGTACATTAAATATTTTAATGGCGATAGATACAAAAGAGTTAGGAAAAAAGAGAAAATTGAACCAGGACTTGAATATCCAGCAACATGTACGCATTTAATAAGAATTAACTCGCAGATAATAATAAATCATTTTAGATTCTGCACAATCGGAAAGTGAAGATACGAATACCAATTCCGACAATACAATGATAACCAACCCTTTTCTTATGGATAACAATCCGTCACTTGTAGAACAGCTGGATCATTACACAAATACAAATCAATTTAGGGAGTCCGACGGAATAGACGAATTTTTAAAATACATCTCTTCGGAAATCAGACAAATACAAAGTCCTAAAGTTATAAAGTGTCTCAAACGAAAATTTATAGCTTTAGTACAAGAAGCGCAAGATGAAGACGAATCGGTTTAAAAATACTTTGTACAAAATAAAACTTTTATAAAAACATACCAGCCACGATTTGTGATCAGTTGCACCGCAATTATTGCACCTTAAACCTTCATTTTCGCGCAATGTTCCATTCAATTGTGCCAACTCTCGTAACTGCATACGACGTAAGTCGTTCTGGCTCTCGGGTACTTCAACGCCTTGACGAATGACTTCCTTAATCTACAAATCGATTTTAGTACAATTCGAAGAATAAAAATGAATGTTACCTTTTCTACAGCTTTCTTCACGTTCTCTGGATTGGTAGCTGTGATGTAGGCATGCAATGGTTCGTCTTCTCCCGGTAATGGTTGTCCGTCCTTGCGGCCCACTTTCCCCTCCTTGACACTACCTTTACCACGTATGATGATCTTCGCACCAGTTTCTTTTTCCATTGCTAAAAGATGTCGATATTAAAGTTTGTAGATGAATAGATGACCCTCACTTTTTAAAGTATTTCCTCTTGGTCCAATTAACAATCCGACAAAGTTGATTTCGGGATGCTCTTCTTGGGGAATCATAACTTTATCACTCACCCTGATTACAGGCGGCCGACTAGAAGCAAGAATAACCACAATAAACCTTTTTACACTAAAAGTTCATATACAACAAAGTACCCCAGTATCAAATAGCCATAAATCTTTTAAGAGACACAATTATATAAGAAATCCAGTTCGAAGAGTTGAAGCCTGTCTGACTTTTGGAGCTTATCTATCCACTCATTCGTGCCAGCAACAAAATGAAATGAAAACATCTGTGCGTTTCCAACTTAGCACATTAAAAGGAACAAGTAGGCAAATATCCAGGCCGAGTACACTCTGATAATGACCAAGTTTTTCCATCTTTGGGCTTTTGCTGGCCAATGGTGAAGTTTTGAAACGGGGATATGTTTTTTTTATTGCAATTGTAACAAATCTTGCGATAGGAATGAGAAATGCTGCAGTGGTTGCAGTTAATTTTTGCATTCCTCTTTCTCTATACAGTAGACTCTCAGTAATCCGGCAGACATCGGACCGGATTACTGGAAGTTGATGAACATTTAAAACGCACAAAACAAGTGTTTCATTGTACCAAAACAACTAATCAAAGGTATTTTAGAATAAAAAATGACACATTAAAAAATTATCTCTAAGAAATAATATTTCTATAGTGTAGTACCAAATTAAAAAAATGAAAAATAAACCCAGTTTTAATAAATAATAACGTGTCTAAATTTGAAACCCACACCACGCCCGTCAAAGTGCGCCGGACTATTAGAGAGACTACTGTATTAATAAACTGTAATGAGATTTAAAGACAGTATGATCCTGTACATTTTGGTGTCGTTTCTGATATTACAAAAAATTATCATGTCACAATATAATTTTTAGTATGAGAAACGATACAACGCATAACTTAAATCTCTTTTGTCATATAAATAAACTAAGGGGCCAGTTTTTTTTGTTTCAGTCAATTTATCAAATAGATAACCTCTTATGTGAATACATTAATTACTTTATCGAAATTCGAGCTTAAAGGCAAGTGTTAAAAATTCCATATAATTTAATACATCCTCAATAAAAAATTACCAGCATAAGAAGTGAAATAAAGCTAAATAAAACTACAAACATGGCCATGCTTATAACTTCGTGAAATTTTTCTGTCTATGGAACCAAATCGTTATCATACCCCCTCCCCCCCAAACATCCACTGTTGTGGCCAGAAAACGTATATCTTCACTGCATCTTTGTTGTAAAAAAACGCGGTAATTGGTTTTTTAAAAAATTATTTCGTAAACTATTTCGAGTATAAAAATGAAACAAACCTATCTCAGGTGACAGCGAAACTAATATTCAGACTCATTTTAAAACGCATTTTAAAACGGCTTCAAATAAAATCAGGTGCCAAATTATTGACAGAACAGCTTACTAACTCAAACCAGATATTTAAAAAAAAACGTCTTTGACAGTCTTACATCCTATATGCCTAATGCACAGTAAGAGCTGATTATGTTTGGAGTTTTTAAATACTTTTCTTAATATTGTATTTGAAAGCGCAAATACTTTTAGAAGTATTTAGTATTGAAATACTTTTGGAATGTATTTAAATGCTTCTGGAGTATTTAAATGTTATTTGAAGAATGTAAACAAAAATTGGGTCATCAGAGCCGAAAGGTATTTTTTTTAATCTGAAGTCATTTTAAGTCCGAATGGTAATTTCTTTTCATTCAGTATAATTAAAACCTGGCCAGAAAACTATAAAGTTACATTTTCTATTAAATTGACCTTGGTGACTTGATTATATCTCGAGGAAAAAAACAATTTTTTTGAAAAAACGTTTTCAGACTGTTTTTCGCAAATAACTCTAAAAGTAAGTATTGTATCGAAAAAAGTATTCTTAGCAAAAATATAGCTCATAAAAAAACAAACAAAATGGTTTATATATGAAGTCTGTAGACTCAGTAGAAGCAAAGTTGTAGCTCATGAAAAGTAGGTTCTCATTCGTCAAATTCCAAATCGAGTACTTCAACGTGAAATAACCAAAAAATGAAGCACTTACAAGAAATTTACAAGAATAAAAAATGTAGCTTTTGCTTTTCTGAACACTTTTTTTGTTTTTCTGTAAAACAAAAATTGGTTAAGATATGGCTGTTCAAAGTTTGCATACACTTAATTTGAATAATCTTATAGCTTTTAAAAAAACCTACAAAATGGTTTTTTAAAGCACTTCGTAGCTTAAAAATTACCTAACCGATTTATGAGTAAAAAACCAATCACATAGATACATCAAAACGCGTGTAGTTAGCATTGTAAGATACACACAATATGCTATTAAGGCACAGACATACTTTCATTTCTTCGCAAGGGTTGTTTTTTATAAGGGTAGAAATTTTATGTGGTAAAAAATAAAAATAGCAAAGAAATCTAAATTTAATGTTACTGTATAATTAAGTAAGATGATTTGAATCAATTATCCGCTTTAATTTACAATTATACGATTTTTTTCTAATAGGGGGTAGTTTTTTCCCCTAAAAAATAAAAAGCAACCTTGGGCTCAAGTTCAACTTTGAAGTGGAGGGTAAGTAGAACCTAAGTCCAAATTTTCATGGGATTCGGTGGAAACTCGGAAAATTACACAGTATCGCCGTATTCCAGGTTCATTTACTGTCAAGTCAAAAAAGTAATCGTAAACGATTTACAAAAAGCGCATTTTCCCTTGCATTCATTTCCCACTTGTAAAGATGCATATCTGCAATCCATTTTTGACGTGGTACTCAATTTCAGTTTATAAGAAGAATCCTACCCACGACTTATAAATTAAGATGGACTGCTGATCAAACAGTTGCATAGGGGTAGAAAAATGGCCCTAGCATGGGCGCCGCCATGATGTGCACATTTTAGTTATTTCCTAGGGGAATTTTCCTAGTGCTCCAGTTTTGAGACTATTGCAGCCTTGGAAAATGACATGTGTCACAATAATGTATTTAGAAAACGTGAGGTTAATGTTGGGTTAATGCTTGTTTATTAGTTGATTTGAATTTCGCGCCAAGTGAGTGCACATCATGGCGGCCTCCATGTAGGTGTCATTTGTTAATTCAGCATTAGAAGTCTATCTTAATTTATAAGTTCGTGATCCTACCCTACATACAAAATTTCATTTAAATATCTTAACAAATAAGAAAATTGGATTGCGCAAATACAAAAGTTCATCATGCATAACTGGACCCGGACAGACAGACGGCGATACAACATTATAAACGATCTCGAGGATAAATGGCAAAGGTGTAAAATTATGGTATACGAAAAAAATAGATTTTTTCTTAAGCGAAACAGAAAAAATTCCTTTCTTGATGCAAGCCTTGACATCATAACGAACCAAATCGCGGAAAAAGTAGAACAATAGCTCTTAAGATAAAGAACTAGTAGCGACAGGACGGGCAAATTGGCCACAATAGCACATTTTTTTAATTTTTGTGGAAATGCGCTAAAAATGATGACCAAAAAAATGAAGACCTGTCAATTTTTCTTCGTTTGTTGGGTTGCATCATGCAAAAAAGGTATAGTTACAAATTTTGATCGCGCCATCCCCAAAATGCCACCAAACAGTCAAACACAAAATGTCCACCCAGCAAATATATATATAGCATATACATACTTATAATCAACAGGTGGTTTAAATTCTGGATTAATTGTCTGCATTCGTAAAACCAAATTGTGACGCTCCTCTTCAAGTCGCCGTCTTGTTCGAAACTCTCTTGTATTCAAACGTTTCCCATCGCTACTGTATATAGGCTCTGGAGAAGGTGATCTGCACAAACAGAAGGAACACACTAATAACAATTGAACAACATTTCCTATGCTTCACCACTACACTTATCAAAATGAACGCTATGTAGTTAATAAATTTGATTAACTGTGATGTAGCATTAGGAATTTCTAAAAAATCAAAAATTAATTTTGTACAACTAGCAACTAATTTCTAAATATGGTTTTCAATTTTTTTGAGAAATCCTCCTGAAAGGATTATTTCTTAAAATGATCAATTTTTTAACCGCAAGCTATAGAAGAAAATTAATTATGTAGTTATGAGCTGTAATAAAAAGTTGATTGATTATTATTTTTTTATGCTGAAATGAAATAGTTTGTAATTTGATATTGACACTTATACTAAAAACCAATTTCTAAAATCGTAAATTTATGAAGATACCTGAAAACGTATCAACAAACATTTTTTTGAAACCTTTAGAAATTGTTTTGTGTAGTAAAATTAAGTAACAAAAGCAAATGGGTCTTTTTAAATTAATTAACAGGTTGCGTTACATTTGTTACAACATAGGTAAATTTTAGACACACACGTCAAATTTATTCAACTTAAGAATACTAACGCCCTGTTAATCAGATTAAAGGCAAATAATCATTGCACAACTGTAGCGTTCTTAATAAAAATGACTTGTACCCCGTGGAGACTTCATACAAAGGAATAAGTAACCCTAACTCACTCTCCGAGTATGAAGAGTTAAAGTACGTAGGTACTTATATAGTTCTTTTTATAATGTAGCTAGATGGCATTGGCAAACGTGATAAAGAAGAATATACAAAGATTACATAAAAGAAAATGACAGTGTTGCCCGTGCACACTTTTAGATTGTCTTGCTATTAATTTAGAAAACAGGACTGACATTCCTTATATGATGATAAATTTCAAACGGACTAAACCGCCAACAACTCTTCTGAACAGAGGGTTCACATTTTGATCATTGTTGAAATGACCAGATTGTAAATTTTAAGCAAACCAAATGAATTAATATGGTCATCACACGAGTGATGCCTAGGTATCCAAAATGTCTATGCTTGTGAGTTATGACGCAACATCACTTCTGGCGACGATATTAAAATGTGAGAGCCTTCTTTAATGCAGAATCAAGTGATATCATGATTATTTGCCCAATTTTTAAACAGTCTTATTACTAAATCTTATGTTTAATAATAATTAAAATGCTTGTGACTGTTTTATAGATGCCAAACCACTGGTGATGTTCAGCTGTCTGGCAAGCAAGCAAAGGAACTGCACCTTTCTTCAGGATTCGGTGAGATCCCTAGGTCGCCTGAACGAAGTTTTCGGCTGACTTCCTCTATCTGGAGTTGAACTGTAATGAAACGGGTTAGGATAGGGCAAACGCCCATATGTTAGAAATCGCATATTCAAAATATTTCACAATTAATTATATCATACAATACCAATAAATTGAAAAAAATCGAATTTCTATTCTTCCGTAAAAGTGAAGAAGTTACTTTTGCCGTGGCTAACATGTCATGCAATAAAAATGCAAAATTCACATACTAAAGCACTGTTAAACACATTACTTTTTGTTGTTTGTTATACATGATAATCAGAATATTCTATTTAATCATAGAATAATCTACCATACCGTCCATTAGCATGTGTATGTTACTCCTCGATTTGGAGTACACTGTACAAAGGGAACTCGAGAAAACTAAAATCAAAAAGATGAAAAAACCTACTCATAAACAAGACACTTTAAAGATTAAGTTTCCCCATTAGAGTGAAGGATTTGCTCGTTGCAATTTGTTTTGGATAAACTATTGACGAAATTCTTGTAGTCCAGCAACTATAATGACAATTTAAAAATGATGACTATTAACAGAGAGCGAAATGAGTGTACCAACATGGATAACTGTTATTTTGTAGCATGCAATAATCGCTGATGCAGTTTGACCAATTAGGTTGATAATATAATTTATTTTCCTGGCTAATTATTTATAATTAATAGGAATTTTGTTAATTAAGCCCAAAAAAAAAAAAAACCATAATCAAACCGTAAAGTGATATACATAATTGAATTCAACATAAAAAGGTCTTCAACTTTGGCTACAAAGATTCTGAGTTCGAATCCCAGATAAAGCATGGCTGTTTGTAATTGTAAATAAATAAAGGCAATAAATAAAAAAACAATATGCCATCGGAATACCATGGCAGTACTTAAAAAAGTAAAAAAGGTTTCCGCCCTAAGGGGAGTAACTTTAGGGCATTTTCCATGCAATGATCAGTACTTTCCAAAATACCATAGCTAAACCTCTCGCCAGGAAAGATTACCAGTCACAGAACACTTGATCCCGGTCTACAATGTACGTTTTTTTTAAAGATGTGAGCAACTTCCGGGATAGTATCGTGTCAATGTTGAACAAAAAGATTTTTCGTTTAACATTGGCACAATCCTATTCTGGAAGTCGTTCGCATCTTAAGAAAAACTTAGATTGTAGATCGACACAAGGTGTGCTGTGACCGGCAATCTTTCCTGGCGAGAGTTATATATATTTTTCTTTACTAATGCGCTAAAATGAAATTGATGATGAGTCCGCCATTTTTCTCAGCGCAAATAATTTCCCCTTGAATTGTCAGCGGAAGAGCAAACGCGCGCATGTATCATGGCCTGCCAATATTGGTTTTTGTTTATACTTCATCACCTAAAACTAATTTAATTTTACACGATAATGGGAAAAAGTAAACAAAAAAGTTAAGTTTGGAACGGGTGTACGAAAAATGTGTTCAGTCGCGCGAAATTTGGCGGTGGAAACAGCTGATTCACCAGAAAAATTTCAAAAACCAAAAAATTTTCCAGGTTTGTAAACGTTATCTTCTTAGCCTTTGATTGCGCAACTTTTCTGCCATTGAACCAAATTTGTATACCATTTCTCGCTAGTCCCTAGAATGCCCTATATTGGACACTTATATTATTTCATTTTTAGATGCTACGTAAAATTCTATATAATGTATAATGTCCTATACCTAAATTTAGCCGGTTTTTGCCATATTTTAATTGTTATATCCAAAGTGACGTTTGCAACTTTTTTATATGAGGCTGATATTAATTATTTGGGGTTAGACAACGAGCGACAAACACAGACGGATGGACACAAAGTCCGAATGACCAAAATTTAGTTAGTCCCTTGACCATTATTTACCTTGAACAGAAATGGAAAATTCGAAACCGTTCGCGAGTTATCATGGAGACCTGTAGACGGACGGGTGCACAGGCAGAAAGCACAAAATCATGAATGAGCTGGGTCGCTCGTTAATGCATGCACATTAAAATTGAATTGAAAAAATAACTAGAACTAAACTTTTTGAATAGACATCCCCTATTTTTATAACGATGTCTTATTAATCACAAAAAATTATCATTTTGTACAAAGTAGTCTATTTCAAAATTTTCAGGTGTTCAAAATAATGTCAATTTATATAATAGTAAAAATACTATTATCTACGATTTGAAGTGGTAAGAAAAAGGGATATTTCTTTAGTGGTCAGTGTTTTTTAGCGTTTTCCAACAAAGTTGGGTGCGCTATTGCAACCACTTTCTCTGTTTGTTCGTCTGTCCGAGGCCTTAACTACTCCTACAATTTTCAAGATATTAAGTTCGTTCCTTTTGCATTCGGTAGCGTATAGCTCTAACGCCTGAGCCAAGAAAAATCTTGACAATTAAACTGCGCATGCGCAGACTGCAGAATGTCAACTTCCTTATTTATTAATATAGGTACTTCTGTTAAAGGCAAACATAACTGATATTGCAAAATTAGATGTGCGCATGCGCAGTCAGTGCCAACTTCTTTAATTATCAAGATATTTTTTTGAGATTTTAACCATAGATGCTTCTAGTAAAGAAAAACATATCACATGTAGTAAAAATCGAAAACTACAAATGTCATTAGGAAAAGTAAACATATCGCACACAGTAAAAAATTAAATCCACGCATGCGCGGACTGCAAAATGCCAACTTTTTTACCTAATTCGCGCGTATTTGCAGTTTGTTCTTTTCCCAATGGCACTTCATTAGAAATTAGATACATCTAGGGAAGAAAGAATTAGGATAAGGGAACGCAAGCGATTAGTAGAATCACTTCTTCAGGATCCAAATGACGTAACCACTCTATGAACACCTGAATTTTCAACACCAGAGCTATGTGTTCAAGAAGTAAAGTGTACTTGTACACGGACAAGCAAGACATTAGAGCTAAAGCGCCAGAATGAACATCTGGGGTCATACAGAAAGACATGAAAAAAAAAATCAAAAGCCGTTCAGCCGTTTAGAAGGAGTTCAGTCAGACACATCCTTACAGAATAATTTTATATATCAAGATAATTATGCATATAATACTAAATTATAAAATGGCTTCAAACATTATGATAGAAACAGTATCCATTATACAGACTCGCAACAATGCTGAGAAATGCATCCAAGATTGAAATATCCTGTATAGCGGATATTCCAAGTCAATATACTTCCATAATAAAAAGGTGTTATGTGTTATATGACAGGCATATTTAAAGAAATAAAATAATACAATTTTCAGTTGTAGCTGTTCGAGATTGAACTTTAAAAATTCATCTCCATTTCAATTCAAATTATGAAGGAATCATAATTTTTAGGGGTTTTGGAATGTATAAAAGATACAAAATAGGTTAAATCGGGGCAGACTTGCAGTTTTATGTGACTTACTCATAGCGTTTTCGATTGGCAAAACTCGTGTCGTGCAATTTTTACGTTCTATTGGTGATTTTAGGGCAATTTTCTGTGTTCCATTGGCAAATGTGATGCAACAATTACACACTCAGTGCAAATTTCGACGTACGAGGTCCGGGAGCTCGTGGAGCTGCTAGTTAACAAATTTTCAAAACAAACGTGCGACAATTTGAATTTGTTTCTTGCGTTGGGAGAGTTTTTTGTCGTCATCTAGCGATAGCGAAGATGATGAACTAGCCATAACTTCTATTTTACAAAAAGTTACACTTACTCATTAAACTGAACGCCAAAAATTGGTCCTTTACAGGAATTTCAAATTTATATTCCTCATCGTTTATCATAAACAATACTGAAATCGTTTGTCATTTTTTAGAATAGAGATTTGTCGATTACCTAAATCTAAAATGAGGTTATGGACAAATGACAACAAATATTTATGACTATTGCCCTCAGAAAATTTCAACCAATCATATTAATGCATATTACAGAAATCACCTAGCAACAGACAAATATCCTCGAGTATTCATGCACTTGTGCAACACCCGCGGGTATTGCTTATGTGTAAATACCTAAAATGAAACTTACATAAATAATTACAATTTGTAAAATGGCAATTTGTAACTGAACCCATGCTTATTTTCGGTTTCATGATGCTTTTTGAAAAACCATGTCTTTGAAAGGATCGAAACAAACATTATATTCTTCTTATCTTGCACAATTTTTGTCAGGCAATAGTCATCCCGTATATCCCTAGTGCACGCCAAATACCAGATCTGAGTATTTCGCTCGTGCACGTATTCAGGTATTTGGCGTGCACTTGGGATATAATACTTGCATATTTATGTTCCATTGAGAGCAATTTTCACATGGATTTCTTCAGTGTCTCGTGCAACACTCGTGCAGTACGAGTGTTGCCAATCGAAAACGCTATCAGAACACCTTTGATTCTCTAAAAATAGTCATGGTTTAAAACAAGTGATGTTTCGACTTTACTTCCCTAGCTGTAGCTCAGTTATTAATGCTACATAAAAAATAGAGATACATACTTACAAGATTGAAATTAATTTAACTCGCACTGATATGACTGTTTTGAGGTAATATTTATAATCTGTCAGTTATGAAATGAAACTTAAATTTTTTCAAAGGCAACCATTGTTGGAGAACTTTTGAAAATAAAAATATCTAGCAAACCAAGCATATTTTTAGAATAAAACAAAAGAGTGGTGTCCTGAGTAATGCACTAAAACTGCAAATCTTTCCGCATTTAACCTAACTTGTATTTTGTATACTTTCTGAAATCTCCATACTAATTCATGAAATAAACTCACCCAGTTATTTTTGAAATTGATGTGTGACTAACCAACGAAACCATATATTGTTTCTATTATTCCTAAATGATCTAACGATAGTGAACTAATAATAATGATTGTATAAACCCACCATACACGTATTCAAGTTTACAATGATCAGTTTTTGATAATAAATTGTCACAACCTACCTTTCATAAACAATATTTTTCAAAGAATACAATTTGGCAGTAACTTTATTCATTATCTTTCTCAAAATATAAACATGTAAATTATCATTAAAATAAATAATTTGCTTGGAAATCTGCTATCTTCGATCTCCTCAATCTTTCATTATGTTTCTTAGGTCTCCATACCTACCAAAAAATCATTACGACATACTTTGTAATTCATTTCGATGCATCCTCATAGCACCATTACCTACTGTGCACATAAACTTATATTTTTTTGTGAAATCCTCACTAATAACAGTGTTACCCATGTTGGTGGATGCGGCAGCTTGAAACACTCTGTACTTTGAATGACCAGTTCAACAAGAAAATGAGACCAAAATCACACATATTCAGTCATGAAAATTTGCTGCCAGGAACAATAATACGTGTTATCATTATCCGATTAACACGCTTGTAGATATTGGAATAAAATTAAAAGAAGCACCAAATGCCGACAGTCAAAGCACAGAAAGGGCAATGATGCATGTACATAAATACGCTTGTCCTGCATCGTGTGAACCACAGACAGTAGCCTTAATACGATGTCCGGTAAATAGAAGTTTTACTTATTTACACATCTTAACCGTAACCTAGAAGAAATTGTAATTGGTGATATGATAGATTACACAAAGATATCTCATCATTCGAGCACAAAAAAGAAGTGATATGGGACCTAGAACGTTACAATTTCAGCATCCGATTGTTCCTGTAACTGTTATAATTTAAATGAGATTGTAATCACAAAATACTTACAAAGACTAATTTATTATCCAAGGTGAATGTTTATTTGGTAAACAACCTTGAGATCTATAAAGATTCATTAAACATGAAGAAATCATCGATACTCACCACAACCTATGAAAAACATGCAAGTCTACCAATTATCCCTATTACTCTTAACTGACTTTCCCTAACAGTAAGTATTTAAATAAACATCTCTCAACTTACGTAAATATGCTTCCTCCTGCTCCTTACTGAGATTGCATGGCAAGATAGTTGGCATCCCGGGGATAAAAATCTTTTCGTGTTCGCCTCCTGCCCAACGAGACCTTCGTTTGCGTCGTCTCTCGTCCTCCAAGTTTGATTCTAACCAATTGGATTAAGCAACAAGGTTTAAAAATCACACTCCTTACCTTCCCCTTGGGAATTCGAATTCTCGTTAGCCAACTCGCCATTACGTTGTGCTACAAGTGCGGCATAATTTCTTGTAGCTGCAATCGTGGCCAATGTTTCCGCAAGTAGTTTGTTTCCATCAGGAATTGCAGTTTTTTCTGGGGTACGCTCGCGATGCCTACTTCTACTTCTTCGTTCTCTATCTCGACGTTCACGATCACGGTGACGATCTCTGTCTCGACTACGTCGTTTACGATCCCTTCTGTCACGGTCCCTATCGCGACCCCTTTCATGGTCACGATCACGGTCTCTTTCTCTATCCCGACTTCGGTCTCTATGTCGAGATGATCCCATAACTACTTAACTGATAGCGATAACACAAATACAAGAAGAAATTTTACACAGCAACGTTCCGGTAATGAAATGATTACAATCGCCACCATATGCTTTACGCTTACGAAAACGACACGACTTTTAACGAACAGGGAAAAACGAAGAGAATTGAAAGGTTGCCAACCAAAACATTCACTAATTATACACAGTATGATTAAGAAATTCTTTCAACCAACATTTTTGCAATAAATAGCGAAATAACGTGGAAATAACGTCAATATTTTGTTTAAGAATAATATAATACTTCATCAGCTATAAGCTTTCCGAAAGTGAGGTAAGGCGTTAGCGATGCACCTTGCACCAAGTTGAAAGGTTCTTTCGTTGGCAATGCACTCTACACCGGCACATTCGCACTTTTAATAAATTTTTGAGGTTAGTCTGACTGAAACGGAAATAAGTAAAAAAAAAATGAAATTGTATAGGTACCTACTTCTGTGTACATATACCGTATAACTATAAAACTAGACGTGGCAAGGTTTAAAAAAATGGCAAGACAAAGAATAGCGAGTAGGTATGAGTAATAAGCAATATGCACGAGGCATTTGTTCAATGACTCCCAAAATCTGTTTCGGGATTATTCACCTATATATTATTCAGTGTCATCAAAATTTTGTACAATCGGCTTTGGAATACAAAATAAATTAAGTAAATTAAATACAACAGGTATTGAGTCATTGTTTACATATTATAATTGTAGTGAATATTTCCCTCATATGTCATAAATGCCATATGAGGTATGCAATTATCGCTCAATTACAGCGATAATTACACTGTAGAAAGCGAAAGAGCCCTGCGATATTTCCCTATCCATGGCAACTGGCAACTCCTTTGGACAATTTCCCACTACACCGACAATTTAAGCAGGATTTATAGTTCCGTAGCCGTAAAGACGTAAAATCTTACGTTAACGAAAATAATACGATTTATAGTTCCGTAGTGGCAAGTGATGCGCTTGCGCATTAGCACGTAACGAATTCTGTCAGTAAGAGTAACGCGCATTTCAAAATTCAAATTGTCTTTCTTTTAATTTTGCTTGAAATGGACGGACTACTTCTTTGCGCTTCAACAATTCTTGTATGTTATGCCCTAAAAAAAAGAGCGAAGCGTAAGCCCAGACTGCTCAGGAGGTTCAAAACAAAACGTATAAATCGCATCTAGGAAAATTCATGTGTTCTAGCTTATTTTGTAAAAATGAATGTTGAGGACCTGAGGTTAATATAATGAATTCGCAATTGTACGCCAAGCGTTGCCTTCTTTGGAGGGATCTTTATAATCGGCTTTTGATTTGTCGTATAAAAAGGAATAGTGTTGAATCACATTAATTAATAATTGTTCAATCATGATAATTGAAAACGCGCGTAATTTGAAAAATAAATAACCAACAAAATGTCAATAATTAAATAAACAAAACGAACGTCAGGCTAAACTCAGTTTGAATTACCCGAGTACTGCCGAAGACAAACGCGTTAGCACGATTTACCGTAAGAAATAAGATTTGAGCATTTCCTACGTACCGTAACCGTTCTAACGCAACGTTAACGCAAATTATAAATGTTCACACGCAACAAGTAGGGTTTCATTCCAAACGTTACGGTACGGCGTTGCGGGTACGGGAACATATAAATTCAGCTTTATAAGTAGGTAACGTCAGTTTGACAAGTAATGCTTGTTCGGGAAATATTCCCCTAAATTACACTCGTACATCAAAATAAACCTGATAATTTTTTATTCAAGCACGTTTTCAGTAAAAAACTGCATCCGGTCATTTTCATATTTTGTTAAAAGAGCCCTCCACCTTCGGTGTCGGGCTCTTTCGCCAAAATATGAAAATAAACTCATGCAGTTTTTAGACAACATGCTTTCAAAAAAATTATCGGTAATTTTGATGCACTTGTGCAATTACCTACGATAATCGTGCTCTTTGTTTTCAAAACAGTTAAGCATCATGCTGATTTGGAAGAGTTAATTTTTAAACAGTGTTGTTTCGAGATGCTAGCTAATTGGTTAAGGTTTCGATCCACTTTCGGCAAAGCTAGATTTAGTTGAGATGGAGAAGGAGATATGCAGCTGCGTATCGTCAGCATATAAATAATATTGGAAGAATATAAGCGAAAAAATTACTGCGGTGTATATTGCGTTTAGTATAGGACTATAGGTTCCAGTATTGACCCTTCACTTGACTTCACCACCACACACGGACCTCTTAAAAAAATGGACTGCCAATATAATATTCCACATTTGTCTAATAGCATTGTTTAAAGTATTTAAACAATGCTAATAGCATCACGGATCTCTTAAAAAAAATTGATGTACAATTAAGCAATAATTAAAGTTCACTCACATTTGTTGTTTCATTTTCCTACTTTTTAAGTTGTCACTCTGACTTATTTGAATATTTTTAAACATTTTATCGTAAGCATACCTTTAGTTCAGTATACAGACCTTTAGGTAATAATTCCGTGCGACTTCGTGCTGTATCGGTATCGAATCGTATGTTTAGAGCTGCACTCGATTTTTTGTTCAACGCCTTCTTATCCTGACTCCGCAATTTGTTATTTGTTCTTTTATCGTTTTGTCAGTAACAAACATCAATACCTAGTATTTTTTATAAGAAAATTGTCGGCTTGTCTTACCGTACGTAATCGATTGATTTAAGAAACGTTTCTCAATTTGTTTATCTGATCCAGCACACAGTAATGTCCGGGGCAGGTGATCAAGATGATGATTGTGTGGTCAAGCTACGAGGTTTACCTTGGTCCGCAACGCAAGACGACATCGTCAAGTTCTTCAAAGAATGCGCCATAATGGGCGGTAAATCCGGAGTTCACATGACCACATCTAGAGAGGGTAGGCCAAGTGGAGAAGCATTTGTAGAGCTCGAAAGTACGGAGGATGTACGTCGTGCCATTCAAAGAGACCACGATCACATGGGGAATCGTTATATTGAAGGTAAATGATGAATATAGCACTTTACCAGTTGTACGATGGAAGGAGCGAATTCATGTGGTATGCTTTTTTAGTTTTTAAGGTTAATAGAGCCGAGATGGATTGGGTCATCAAAAGATGCGCACCGATGAATGGTTCCGATGAAGATGGTTGTGTGCGTTTAAGGGGTTTACCTTTTGGGTGTTCTAAGGAAGAAATCGCTCAGTTCTTCACTGGTATGTAGTACTAAAATTTTGTATGGTGTTGATTATTTAATGTTTTTTCGCATTTTTTATATTCTTAAGAATAATTGGGATAGACATATACAAATTGAAATTGGTATCGTAAACAACTTTAGCTGTCAATCTGGCAATGTAATTGCAAAACATCAACATTGACTAATAACAAGTTATAGATCCTTGACATTAATCTTTTAACAGTTTAAGGTAGTAGTATTTTTTTATTCATTACTCCCGCCAGGAAAGATTGCCGGTCACAGCACACCCTATGTCGATCTACAATCTATGTTTTTCTAAGGACGCGAGTGACTTCCGGAATAGGAACGTGCCAATGTTGAACGAAAAGTCTTTTTGTTCAACATTGACATGGTACTATCCCGGAAGTCGCTCATATCTTTAGAAAAACATAGATTGTAGATCGGGATCAAGTGTTCTGTGACCGGCAATCTTTCCTGGCGAGAGGTTTATGTATGATACTCTTTATTTCCATGGACACATGACTAGCGTTGGGCAAAAAAATCGATTAATCGATTATAATCAAACGATAATCGATAATCGGGTTTGATTATTCTATTAAATTAATCGATTATTTGATTAATCGATTATTTGATTCATCGATTATTTGATTAATCGGTTATTTGATTAATCGATTGTTTGATTAATCGATTATTTGATTAATCGGTTATTTGATTAATCGATTGTTTGATGAATCAATTATTAAGTAAATTTTAATTGATTATTATTAGCTGGATCATCAGTTTACGCAAAAAGGAGCACTCACAGCTCACAAGTATTATTTTATTTTATGGCGGATGTTAAAACGTCACTTTAAGCAGCTAAAATGAATTAAGATCAAAACTAAAGCACACCTCATCGGAGAGTAAGCTGCCTAATCATTTATTTTTATTTATTTATTTTTATTTTTGACCTTCATTTTCAAATGGGCTGGGTTTCAGCCAAGGCTGTTCTACCAACCAACCCACTATGCATTTGCAAATATCCATGCCCGAACCCGGATTCGAACCAGGGACACTTTGTTGATTATTGATTAATCGATCTCCCTAGTAATGAACGATTTGATGAAAAGAGTAATGGAATTATTTTTTATTTTTATTATTAAATAATTAACGTATTAATTCATACAAACAGATATTTATCATGTATGTGACAATCGACTTTTGATTAAACGATTAGGTGATTAATCGATTATTTGATTAATCGATGATTTGATTAATCGATTAATTGATTAATCGATTATTTGATTAATCGATTAATCAGTGTAATCGATTATTTTTCATAATCGATTATCGATTATTCAAACCCGTAATCGCCCAGCCCTACACATGACAATAGAAAAACATTGTGTCTAACGGAAAATTGTAGATTGAAAACTCTTTCATCGATAATTAGGACCAAACCGCAAAAGTGTGCTTACTTGATTTGCAAAGTTTATATACAGGGTAATTTAAAAATATATGTTCAGGTACCATCTCGCAAGGGACGCCACTTCCTACATACCTAGAAAAGAAGTGCTGGATTTAAAATTGAGGCAGAAATCAGATACCACCTAAATGTTGGTCTAAATAGCGAGAAGTGACACGGTTTGAAGAACCTACAGAGGGAACATAAAACCATGTCATATTAAAATTCATACTTCTATACTGCACCTGAATCTTTAAACTGCCACTACATCGCCTACAGTGTAACGATCTACTACACAAACATTCTTAAATATCACGAGTACTCGAATTCTCTCGCAATACAGTTCTAATGGCCGGGGAGTAGTCCCGTATCATATGTAACACTACTATTGTCTAAAATTGTTACAATCAAGAACTAAGTCAAAATTGGTAAAAAAAAGTTAAAATTTTGTAATTTCACAACCTTCACACCCAAACTTCCAGTGCTGGGATTTCGGTTGACTTGCTGTTCAGTCGCCTTCTATGACACGCAGTGCTCTCTGCACTAGAGTTATTCTTTTCCGCCCTACACGGGTAAATGTCAGAAGAATATACCACGAAATATCAACAAAATCGAATTTAAAAAATCCTTTAACAGGCACCCTTTACAAATTCCATGATCCAAATTTGCTAATATTTTATACTCTTGTAAAAAGACAGATGACTCCATCAACTAAATTCCTAAAAAGATCAAGAAAATTATTCAGTTATACAAACAGGAATGATCATGCATGAGAGATGACACATTTGGAAAACAATTCATAATTAAAACTAAACCATGTCTTCAAACAAACTTTATTGATTAATTAAAACTACTGATAGTAGTTGATGAAGATGAACTAATGATCTGTTGGTAATACTTTCCCCCCATTAGTTTTTGATTTTCATGAAAATCTAACTAAGCACTCTTGGATATCCATATTTGTATTTAATTAGTTATCAAACAGCTCCAAATTCCTTTTAATAAGAACATGGGAGCAATGGAATATGAACTAAATGATTCACTTTAGTTTTAAATGAAGTAAAATGCCAAAGGATCAACGTGAAAAATTTGCATATTAACACCACACCACACAGTTTGTTTATAAGGACTAAAAGGCGTAACGTTATATTTTAGGGATATTTTATTTTTTTGCACTTATTTCTTGCAAAGCATGTAATTTAATTTTTATAAATTGTAGTGTGACTGTTTTTAGAGGAAGATTTGTATTTTTTTCCCTGTGTAATAATAATAATAATAATTTTGTTTCCTAAATTGTCAGTGAATTAAATTTTGCATTCTTATTGAAGATGCGTTTATTCTTAAGAATATAATGAATGTTTTATGTCAATGTTATCCTAGTTCATTATAATATACTGTTTTTGAGTTAAAGGGCTGATTGGGTTGTTTGGGTAGGGTTGGAGATAGTGCCCAACGGAATAACCCTTCTGACTGACGGCTCGGGGAGAAGTTCTGGGGAGGCTTACGTTCAATTTGTTAGCAAAGAAGTGGCAGAGAAAGCTCTGCTGAAACACCGGGAAAAAATAGGACACAGGTGGGGTTTGGGAGGGTGGGTCACCTCCTTATTATTTTGTTCCCTTCTATAGTATATTAAATAATCATTATGATTCTCCGTATAGTTTTTATTTTTCATATTAATATATCATAATGATTGTTTGTGGTGGTAAGTGCAGGTTAAGATGAAACGAGGGGAACTTTTTGTATGCAAATTTTATTTTATTCTAATTTATGATGTGGATTTAACAACATGGAGGAATTATTTTATTTGGGCAATAATCCCCTCAATAGTGAATGAGTCAGGGTACCGTTCATCATTTTGATAGTGTGCTTGCGGAACAGATTTTCTTATGCTAGTGAAACAGTCATTTTTGCAAATCATTTTGCGGAAATCGCATTGCTTAAATAACAGTTTATCAACATTGTTGTGTGCTTATCTGTTCACTAAATGTCTTCTTTTCACAAGAGGATGTATGTTGGATTATTAACTAATTACTCATTCTCCACACTGTTGTGCAATTGAAAATTTCAGTGTCACTACCTATTCATGTTAATAACTTTTCAAGATGTTCAAGTAACTTTGTTAACAATAAGTAAGTCTTCATTTGGTTGCTAACTAAACTTTTTGTTTAAATAAAACAATGCTTAAATTTAAAATTTCGAAGCTAAATGAATTTTTATATGTTTGCTTTAAAATCGTCATTTTGAGTTTGAACAAAATGATCATTCTTTAGACTTGTTCCGCATCTACTAGAGAACTTCTAGTATACTCGGAATTTTACAGTCGTGTAATGACGTCATTTTCGTGGGAAAAAACGTATGTCCTATTAAATTTATTTGTTGCTAAGTAACTGACTACTGGTGTCTAATTACCTGCATGACTTTTACTATACAGTGGTGTACATAATATTTTAGCATTTTTTGATAATAATTAAGTCAATTTCCACAAGAAATCTATAGGTCTTAATAAAAGAAGAAGTCCTAATTAACTGACTGACTGACTGACTGAGATATCAACGCACAGCCTAAACGACTGAAGATATCGAAAATAAATTTTTAACATGTTAAAAAATGCGAATAGTTCATATTTTTTGCGAGCGAAACCGCGATGGATAAAATGTTAGTATTTCAAAAAGGTCATTTACTCACTAATTATTTTAATAACTTGCTGAACTAACATATAAGTAATATTAACATATTTTTGTTTTTAAATAAATAAAGATTAACAAAACGAAAATCACAGAATATTATTTAGGAATCAATACTCCCGAAAAGACCCAAAAAATAATTAGCAGAGGGGTACATAAAAATTCAAAGAACCACTATCGAAACCACATCTACACAAGAAAAAATTGCACTACCTTGATGAATAGTTGGAAAATCAAAATCGTAAAACAAAAATATACCAATGCCAATTTATTGCGATTGTAATGGTCACAGTATTAGAAGAAAATTAGTCGCCCTCGTCCGTATCGTCAGAGTCAAAATCAAAGTATTCGTCGTCAGTAAGGTCGCCATCTGCGTCTGTAGTGATAACAAGAGGTGGGATGTCAGAAGCATCACAAACTTGTACTGCTCCCCAAGCCTCTTGTATTACTTTGTCCGTATGGTTTACGTATTTCTCCCAATTACCCCTAGAAATCTCCCCGATAACCCTTTCCCATGTTGCCAAAACCTCTTGTGGTGATCCCTTAAAATTTGCAATGTACTGATCGTATTTTCGTTTACACTGGGACCACACCATTTCAATCGCATTAAATTGGCAGTGGTATGGCGGTAACCGTAAAATTTTATGTCCTAAAGGCTTAACATATTCATCAAGGTAGTACTTTTTCTCTTTGGGGCAGTTTGAGCTGACAATGCTCCATATTTGATCCTTCATTGCCTTTTCTGGATAGCCGATATTTTTTTCCCCTAACCATTCTATCATTCTTTGTTTTGTCCATGATTTGGTGGGAATTTTCCCTAAAAGGCCAGAATGGTAGCTTGCGTTGTCCATAATAATTAAAGATTTTTCAGGAAGATTTGGCACCAGTTGAGTCTTGAACCAATTTTCAAAATTACCCCTGTTCATATTATCATGATAGTCCCCTGTTTTTTTTTCCACTTTTAAAAATCAAACTTGCCCCACCAATAAAGCCATCGTTCGTCCCAGCGTGGACAATAATGTATCGATGACCTAAAGAATATCTCTTTTAATGATATTGAAAAGGTATTATAATATCTTATTTTACCTTCATTGGGTTTAATTGATTCCGTGTGCTTAGTATCATCTTGCCAGCTGTTTCGAAATGATCCCTTACTAAATAATTATCCAGGTTTCATCCATAAAAACCGGAGTATAACCCTCATGTCCCAAATTTTTGTTTTCAATGTACTCCCTTAAGAATTTTATTCGTTTGTGGACAATATCCGGTAAATCCATAAGATATTTTCTGTTATTGGACTTCTTCCATTTAAAACCCATACTTTTGATCCACTTTCTCAATGAATCAATGGAAAATTGAAAATATTCGTTTTGCTCCAGAAATTTTTGTCTAATAGTTGCCAGTGTAACATATTCCTTTTGGGAGTACATATAATAGATTGTATCCCGAATTTTATTCTTCAAATATTCTGTGATTTTCGTCTTGTTAATCTTTTGCTTGGTAGAGACATTAGATGCGTAATCTTTGTCGGATTTTACACCATTTTTTCTCAAATTGAAATGGTTGTTGGGCTGACTTTCGTTGCTTGTGCAGTTCGCTGTATAACATTGTTGATGTCTAGTGGTATGCCATTCCGAACTTGTTCCTGTTCAATTTGAAAGAAAGCCAACACATTTAGAATTATTAACTGTGTTTGTCCGTTAAATCGATGAGGGTTTTTTGGCGGCATGTTTTGACGCTTTGGCGTTTTCAAAACTTCAAAACTGACAATCACTTGACAAGCATTTCAGGTAAAATTTAGCCACGACAACAACATTTCACAACAACATTTCGGCAAAATTTTTTGTCATTGTCATTTTACATTAGTTAAACAAGGATAGACAAAAATGACGTCATTACAAGACTGTAAAATTCCGAGTTTATGTCATTTTCTCATATTGCAAATTGTACTGTAGTCTCATTTAGAATAATTTATAACTGCCCTCCACAAAGTAGTATGCTTGTTCAATATCATACAAAGCCAACGTTCATTTTAATCTAAATTCTTCTCTTATTGTTTATAAACATTTTATCAAAACATATTAAGCAAATACTGCAGTGTATAGACATTAGCTCTGCATGTCATTGTTCACAAGATATAGATTCTGGGAATATATTGAAGTCATCCACATGATGGTTAAGGTCGCCATGTATTTTTCACGATTTGCAATTGGACATATATAGTAGGTACAGTGGATGTCAGTTCCTGTATCATTTTTAAAACAATTGTGCTGCAATGTTCTGGTGGATGACTGACAGTTTTGTAAGAGATTTTACAATTTCAATAACAATGTTTTGATAAAGTGATACTTTTAAATGCTGTCGTCAATTTGTAGTTGAATGTTATAACTGATTGTAACTATATTAACAGGTATATAGAAATATTCCGAAGCAGTTTGTCAGAAGTACAAAGTGTTGTTGGAATAAATAACAGACGTATGGGAGGTGGGGGCGGTGGTCCAGGAATGGGCTACAATTCTCGCCCTGGCCCTTACGACCGTGGCGATCGATATGGAAACATGAACCGATTTCAATCTCGTGGCTCTCGTAGCTTCAAAGGCTCTTTGTTTAGTAACAACGTTTCAGGTATGTGTAGATTAGTTTTTTTTTCTTTTGATTGAATTGTATTTTATTGCAGATAGAAAATATAGCGATTACGACGATTTCGGTGAACTACCGTCTCCTTGGCTAAATAATTCGAACCATAACGGAGATATGGGTAGCGACAATAGCCCATATGGAGGACACAGCTGGGAAAGTCCAGAGGAATGTGGCGGGGGAGGTGTTCATTGTGTGCATATGCGTGGATTGCCTTTTAAAGCGAATCAAATGGATATTGCTGATGTAATCGTTGTTTAATATAGCATAAGTGAAATAATTACGGCTAGTGTAGTTTTTCAGGCCCATTATTCCAGTTTCAATACGCCTTCTTCAGGATAACTCTGGTCGTGCATCTGGAGAAGCCGATGTAGAATTTGCCTCTCACGAGGATGCAGTCCGTGCCATGAATAAGGATAAGGGTCACATGCAGCATCGTTACATTGAGTTATTCTTGAATTCCTCATCTTCTGGCGGAGGAGGTGGCGGAATGGGTGGTGGTGGTGGTGGAAACGGTGGCGGATATCTGAGTTATGGCGGTTATGGTGGCAGAAGAAGATTTTAAACATCTTGACACAAAAATTTATTCCAGTTAAGATTACAGCATATTTTTTAATTAAGTGTGATTTCAAGCTTGTAATTTTGATGTTTCAGTACTTGTGTTCTATTCAGTTGACTTAATTAGAATTTATTTCTTTATTTTGATCCATCCTCATGTACTTTTTATTTAATAGGTTTCGTAATTTTGTTTTAATAAATAAATGCTCCATTGCTGTTTCGGAGTGTATGTAGTGAACTAAGTCTATTTTACTAATACTTACATTGCAAACAATATATTCCTAGTAGAACTTTCTACTGATCAAGAAATATAAAATGGTAATGTTATTGTTATTTTTTGTAATTAAAAAAGTTAATGTATAATCTCTCATAGTACATAATTGTAACTATTTTATTATTTTGATTTAGAGCATTATCGAGTGCATCTTTAGTTCTATATATACTAAAGATGATTTCTACAAGTGTGCACATTGCCCTTTAGAATGCGAAAAAAACTAGCTTTGCCTCTGTTTTTTCTTCACGCCATTAAATGAAACAAATATTGCCAGATTTCATTAATTTAATGCTTTGTTGCACTGAAATTGGTGGCATACACCTAGAGTGTACTCTAAGAGATTGTACTTTTCCTATTCTTAGTGATAAGTGAATTGGTCCTATTTTAGTGCAAAGTATACACCAGAACTTCTATTTTTATGCATCATTTTCAGAGTGAGGAACTCTAGTCCTCGCTTTTACATACACAATTTAAACTGTTATTTTCATTCTTTCGGGTTTAAAAATGTAATCACTGTAGTGGGATAGATGTGGTAGTTGGAATAAACGTATTTTGCAACTTTCTTTTAATGATCTGATGTGACTTTGTTTCAATACTCACTTTGTGACGTTATATGCAATAGCAGCTCCAACAAATCGAAAGCAAATGGATCGCAGATTCAGTTTTTTGCTTTTCCAAAAGGTAATTCCTGTATTACAAAAAGAATGGGTTAAGGCCGCTTGACATGGAGCAATACAACGCGAAAGAAATTGCAAAGTCAAATCCTTATGCATGCAATATGCATTGCATGGTATTTGACATGGTGCATCTATTTCAATTGCCACGTGTCTGCCAACAGAAGAAAAATATGGACTTGTCAACAAAGTTGCTAACCTTAAATAAAAATTAAATTTTGATTGCTTGAAGAAACATGAAAATTACAAGAATAAATAAGATTAATAAAAACTAGTAATGAGTGCGTCTGGTTGGTGACACAAAAACGACTAGATTTATCCCTAGAATTGCGCGATTCATGCAAGAAAAATAGCACCGGTCCTATAAAAATTGCATGCAAGTCTCTTGCAGCAATTGATCAGTTGACTTTAAAGTGCGCATGCCTTTCGCAATTTTTCTTGCAACTTGCATGCAATAATTGCAATTTTTATTGGTCCATGTCATGCCGCATGCGGGCGTATGAAGTGCAATAGAAAGGGGAACCTGAACCCCGTATGCAATAGACTGTGCAGTCTGCATTCCGGGCCGAAGACTATGAAGATGAAATGTAAGCTGTTTTGAATAAAGTGCGCTCGGTGCATCCCATCCCGGCACCGTTTTCCCGGACGCCATTACTATCCCGGCGACGACCTATCTCGGTGACTATTGCTTTCCCGGTATCCCTTATCCCGGCAATGCACACGTTCCTAACGCCGCCGTCTGTCCAACCTCATTTCTCTTTTGTTTTTTTTGTGCATAAATATGATATACCTACCTATTCTTTAGAAGCGGATGTCAAATTTGGTACCGAGAGAGGCTGTTATTGTGCCTGGACGCATTGTAATTAATGCTTAGAAATAGGTATAGGAGATCGAAATATGCAAGGAAGCTCAAATAAGTTGTGTTGTTTACACAATTACCATCGGAGTAAAAAGACCCATTTTTAAAAAAATTGCGTTTTTACCATGTACCTACGCAGATAGATACCAGAAAACTTTACCTACCTTTAAATGGCATAATTTCACTTTGATACTATAATCCCTATTCAGATTGTATTATATCTAAAAAGGAAAAATCACGCTCTATAAAATAGCAAATCAGAAAATTTAATTCCGGTGATATGATGATATGATAAACATGAATTTGCTTCATATGTTTACCGCGTCTGAAATATTTTCCATCCCTCGGATCACAGAGTTCAAATTGCCGCGGGAAGACCGAAGCCGGGATTACCCATCGCCGGGTTTAGAGCGCCGGGATGTAAATGGTCGCAGGGATGGCTTGTCGCTGGGACATCGGTGCCGGGATGGTCAACGCCGGGATGACCGTGGCCGCGTTTAATATTCGCTAGCATGTTTCTTTCTATGCAATGCACATCCATGTAATAAGTACCATTTCGATCCATTTCGCATTTTTTGAACTTGCTCTGTTGTTGTTGCGTTCATAATTCATTTTTACGATGTGGACAAAATGGGATTCTGGGTGACGTCATTCGCGTATTTTAATACTGAACGTTTATTGGCTGAAAGTTACGAGGCAACCTATACTTTCTCTATTAACCTTGCGATTTACCAGGCTCAAATGGGTCTGGGAAAGCGGCGATTACTAGATAGTATTAAATAATAGTTATTTATTTCATACTATCTAGTAATCACCGCTTTCCCAGACTGATTTGAGTCTGGTAAATCGTATTTTACCAGACTGAAAATTTTTACCAGACTGGAAATTTTGCCTAGCAACCGCAACTGACATCCATCTAAACGTATGCATTGATATTTGTCCAACTACTGTCAGATCAAACAAATCAAGTGATCGACTTTTGCTTTTATTTTAATGTGTACCTACTACAACATTCAAAGTGTGGTGCATTCATTGAGTTAGAAAACTAATGGAGGGAATCAAATGCATGACCAGACGTAGACCACGGGAACCAAAAGTGGCCTCTAGCTGTGATTAAAGTACCACACCACTTCCGCTATCATTAGCGTCTCACTTCAGTGGCGTAGATATAATTTTCTTTCCACTAATAGGAATAACAAAAAAAACGTATAGAAGGAGTAAAATACATGCTCGTGGTAAAGTAAACAAAATAGCCAAGAATGGGAAAGTATGCAGATTTAATAAAATCATTGATTACAAATCTAAATATACATCGATGTGTTCCAGTAGTATAATTAAGGCCAGTTTACTATAGCCACTACAACTTGACAACTCCCTTTAAATTCACTGTGTTGATAAATAGCTACAATTGATTGGTTGGTCTCAGGTTCATTACAATACAACGGCAGAGAGATTCAATAATAATTTATTGTTTATTGGTCTCAAAATGTATCCGCCTTCGTAAAAAAACTTTCTTTCTTTCGGTGATCCAAACGTGTTTGGATTGTCAAATCACGTTCTTTCGAAATGTGATCTTATAATCATGATTGCTAAAATCGTGAACAAACTGAACATAAAAGTTTTATGATTACGAATTCCTAACCTATAAATGCAAGGATATTTATGCTCAAATGGTAGGTTAGTCACTATTTGTAACTGAAGAGGAGCATAATCGTGCAAGTACTTCCACTTATATTTAAATTATTTTCATTAACCAAACAAAAAATACGTAATTCGAATCTAAATGTGTACTCCGTAAACTGATTTAAATTCGCGCGTTCTTTCGTAAAACGTGATCCTACGAATCGCAATCTCGAAATCATGATTGCGAAGTAGCCGAAAGAAAGCTGATATCCATATTATAAACTCACACGTTTAGCTGCAAAAACAAGTTTTGATAGTACCTACTGCATATTTGATAAATTTTTTTCCAGTGCAACCTTTGGTCGAAATCACAGTCAATGAAGCGTTGTGAGCACAAAATCAAATTTTGAGAGCTGTTCTTGAGATATATTTACAAATGTTAGGTAACCATTTTGCTCGAAGTACTGGTTCGTTTGGAAAACTAAGAAACATAAACTAGGTACCTACAACCTCGCCTACAACATGATAAATGGCATGTCGGGTACGTTACGCTAACAAGCTCCCCAGGTATGATCATGAAATTGATAGAAATGGATAGAGGACACTTTAATAACACGTTTAGAATAAAAAAATTTGCGGAAGAGGGCCTAAATTTTCCACAATCTTAATTAAAAGTTCACCTCATTTTCTGGAAATCTGGTGTTATTTTACGTATATTTTGTAATTCTTAAGTTGGCGAAACTGAAAAATTTTATGTGACAACTCTTTTTCCACTAATAAACACAGGTGACAGTAAATTTGTGTAGGGGGTTATGTTAACTTCTTCGTCTACTAAAATGAAATGTGCTGGATTTAACGTGTATATTAATAGAATGTAATAAAAGTAGTACAACAGGTATAATATACAATACAATTTTAGGTTTTGTTCGACTTAAACACCAAATAAGCGACACTTCCATGTGACTGACATTTTAATAACACCACTTTTTGAAACTTATACAATCTAAACTTGAATGCATCAGGGAAGAAGGATGTCGTAGAGAAGGTTGCATGTGGCAAAAATCGATTTCTTGGTATCGCTCACCGAGAGGGGAAACCCGGGCACTTCCTGCATGTTTCATATGAATCGCTGCTTAGCATCCACCGCCTAATACGTTCGAGAGGGGAAGGAACATCTCTCGCATTTCCCATGGATCGCAGCTACGTTAGCGATCGCCGCTTAACTTGGAACGCCTTTTTCGTATCCATCGCCGCTTAACTTGGAACGCCTTTTTCGTATCGATCGCCGCTTAGCATCCACCGCCTAATACGGTCGAGAGGGGAAGGAACATCTCTCGCATTTTCCATGGATCGCAGCTATGTTAGCGATCGCCGCTTAACTTGGAACGCCTTTTTCGTATCGATCGCCGCTTAACTTGGAACGCCTTTTTCGTATCGATCGCCGCTTAGCATCCACCGCCTAATACGGTCGAGAGGGGAAGGAACATCTCTCGCATTTCCCATGGATCGCAGCTACGTTAGCGATCGCCGCTTAACTTGGAACGCCTTTTTCGTATCCATCGCCGCTTAACTTGGAACGCCTTTTTCGTATCGATCGCCGCTTAGCATCCACCGCCTAATACGGTCGAGAGGGGAAGGAACATCTCTCGCATTTTCCATGGATCGCAGCTATGTTAGCGATCGCCGCTTAACTTGGAACGCCTTTTTCTTATCGATCGCCGCTTAACTTGGAACGCCTTTTCCGTATCGATCGCCGCTTAACTTGGAACGCCTTTTTCGTATCGATCGCCGCTTAACTTGGAACGCCTTTTTCGTATCGATCGCCGCTTAACTTGGAACGCCTTTTTCGTATCGATCGCCGCTTAGCATCCACCGCCTAATACGGTCGAGGGGGGAAGGAACATCTCTCGCATTTCCCATGGATCGCAGCTACGTTAGCGATCGCCGCTTAACTTGGAACGCCTTTTTCGTATCCATCGCCGCTTAGCATCCATCGCCTAATACGGTCGAGAGGGGAAGGAACAAAACATGTAGGGAACTGCTTACTACTATTATGATATAATTAAAAACACATGTAGAATACTTGTACATCATTATTTAATGTTTATTATATCGTGAAAAAATAACATAACCTCTTAAGAAATTAAAGTTGGCACCGAGGAATTTTAAGAACACTATAACCAACTTAAAATCAACAATGTAATTTGAATAATATAACCTCACTTACGACGAAATGAAGTGAACTTTGAATGAAGATTGTGGAAAATGTAAGGCTTCTTCCGCAAATTTTTTAACTGATAACGTGTAATTAAGGTGTCCTCTATCCATTTCTATCAATTTCATGATCATACCTGGGGAGCTTGTTAGCGCAACGTAACCGGCATGTCTTACCGATGAAAGGAAATGC